CAGGAATGATCTTCATTTATCATACAAGCATTCAAACTAATGAATTAGAACAAAAAGCACTTGCAGTCAGGTTCCTTAAACCTCATGGAATCAAATGGACCTTGCTTAAGACTGCAAAACCAGGTTTTAAGCTTCTGGAGATGTATGTGGGCAGATTTCTGAAACCGCCCATTGCTGCCAATAAATATGAATAGGATGGGTTTAGCTTCAGTCAGGAATAAATATGGGGATAACAGCCCAAATCTGAGAAAGTAGGAATGAAGTCAACAGAATAGTTTAACTGCTTATCAAATATTACCTAAGGCATTTAGATAAAAGTAAATATGCATGAAGGGCTTTGGAGATAAGCCATCTAAGGGTTCATTGCCTAAGCTCCTTCCACAGTCACTGGAGAAAGAAAACAAGCACGGGAGGGAAGGGTGGGCAATACCCTACTGAGAGCCATTTATGATCAGTGGGACAGTCACCCTCTCAAGATGGCTCTTCTTGGCCACAGGTCAACCTAGGCAACTAGTTTAGGCTGAGTGACAAGTGTCTAGAAGGCAAACATGAAAAGATGAATAGCTCTATACTTTTAAGTAGAACGATAGTCACAGTCTCGCAGGCAAGTAAAATAAAAAATAAAATGGCTGTAGGTACAGTCAAGGGATCTTTTCCTGTTCCATCACCTCCTTCTAGGTGAGGATGAGAAGTAAAATTGAGGTTTTGGTTCAAAAGTAATGTTTACAGAAAGGCACAGAGCTCAGAAATATGAGGTTGCTATTAATCGTCATGAAAAGAACCCGACAGAGGGTCTCTACTGCATTTGCATTTTCCTTGAAGGAAAAAGCTGTACTGTTACCAGAATTCGTATCACTGCATCAAGGCAAACTCTGGAGAAGGAGATGCTTTATCAGCTTCACAGTTCATGGAATTAATAAAATATATAAAAAAAGCAAGTCACATTAGAAAGCTCACATCTAATTGCCCAGAAACTTTAGAGACTAAAGGTATCGTCACTAGCGAAAAGAGTTTGGCTTGCAGGAATGTAGCACTTTGCTCGAAGGTACAACCTTGACCTGAATTACTGCGGTTGAGTTGGTTCAGCTTCCAGCCACAATTACTTGGTCAAATTTTCTGAGACGGCAAACAGATGTGGACATCTGTCCAAAAAGAATGGCCTGTGACTAGTGGAGTATAAAAACTGATTTGATGAACTGTCGTCAGGCCTTAATGACTTTTAGTCATCAAGTTGGATCAGACTAGACCTGGTTATGTACAAGAGTATGCTGAACTGCTATCAGGAAGAAGGATTTCTAAATTAAAAAAAAAAAAGAAGAAGAGAGAAACCTCAGATTTATTGGACATTATAGATAAGAGAACTACATCATCACCAATCTCAATGATTCAATTGCATCCAAATCTCAAGAGCCAATTTGTAGTAGTCTAACTTCAGCTGTAAGTTT